GACTCACACTACAAGCCGGTGGTGATATGATTATACTACTGGTACTGACTCACACTACAAGCTGTTGGTGATATGGTTATACTACTGGTACTGACTCACACTACAAGCCGGTGGTGATATGATTATACTACTGGTACTGACTCACACTACAAGCTGTTGGTGATATGGTTATACTACTGGTACTGACTCACACTACAAGCCGGTGGTGATATGGTTATACTACTGGTACTGACTCACACTACAAGCTGGTGGTGATATGGTTATACTACTGGTACTGACTCACACTACAAGCTGGTGGTGATGTGGTTATACTACTGGTGGTACTGACTGGATGTGGTTATACTGCTGGTACTGACTCACACCACAAGCTGGTGGTGATGTGGTTATACTGCTGGTACTGACTCACACTACGGCTGGTGGTGATGTGGTTATACTGCTGGTACTGATTCACACTACAAGCTGGTGGTGATGTGGTTATACTGCTGGTACTGACTCACACTACAAGCTGGTGGTGATGTGTTTATACTGCTGGTACTGACTCTCACTACAAGCTGGTGGTGATGTGGTTATACTGCTGGTACTAACTCACATTACAAGCTAGTGGTGATGTGGTTATACTGCTGGTACTGACTCACACTACAAGCTGGTGGTGATGTGGTTATCCTACTGGTACTGACTCTCACTACAAGCTGGTGGTGATGTGGTTATACTGCTGGTTCTGACTCACACTACAAGCTGGTTGTGATGTGGTTATACTGCTGGTACTGACTCGCACTACAAGCTGGTGGTGATATGGTTATACTACTGGTACTGACTCTCACTACAAGCTGGTGGTGATGTGGTTATACTACTGGTACTGACTCGCACTACAAGCCGGTGTTTATTTGGCAGTATAATTACCAGTTAATTAATTAATGAGAAAGAAAATAAGTCCAACTTCTCAAGTGTGCCCAAAAGAATTAAATTCAATTCAATTAAATTAAATTGAAATAAAATAACTGCTATATGTGTTGTATCCATAATTTCTATCTAAGGTTTTATTAGTTCCCGCTTGTGTCTCAGTTGTGAACCCGGAGTAACATATTGTACTGCAAAAGCGTTACTGTGTATAGAATAATGCTGCCAAGTTCTCAAGATCAACTTAGGCCCGTGATGGCTCGACCTGTTTTCATAAGCCACAGAGGTCGAAATAACAGAGTAGAAGAATGTGGCTCAGTAGCGTCACCAGGAGCCCGGGACGGTGAGTCAGACTCTCGCTGTTTGGGATAACTTTCCTCAGATAGGCACTTGGGTCTAATGCATCTTTTATAGCTTGTTTTGGGTGAGTTAAGACCACGTCCAATTGTCTAGGGGCACGTGTATGCAAGTCTGCGGGACGGGAATCAGGATCTTGTGAATATTCTCACTAACAAAAAACATTTATTTTTGTCAACTCAAGATAGATGACATCCACTGACATAAGTGTTTCAACGAGAGGTACATTATAGGGGTGGACAGAGTGGACCAAACAAACCAATCCTGAACTAACATTACTCGGGTAGTTTTGATGACCTTAGGTTATATCCAATGGGTTTGTGTTACTTTCTTTGAGGAAAGAAATGGCTTATCAGTCCTATTGGCGGTACTTTTGTAACATTTTGGTTAGGTTGGCCCTTTCACTCACCAAGAGCCAAACGACTGGCAATCTTAAACCACGGGAGTCTTGGCAAGTTCCTCGCTTTTATGTTCCTTCTTCCATTGTTACCTTCTTTCTTTACAACTGCAATTTCCACCCAACAATTTTACAACAATGTAATTTTTTTTTAAGTACACATTACGTCAAGATTTACTAGGCAGTAAAGACCACGTGTGAGGAGTGCTTACTATACTGTACTGACAATAGCCTTAAAGAGGTCCTCTTTCTCTTGAAAACTCCCGACCAAACAGAAAAGAAAACAAGAGTAATATTACCCACACTGTCGGAGGTTACATCAGGAGAAAGGTCATTGACATCTGTCTGAAAGGAACAATGTCCTTAGCATAAATTATTCAACGGAAATACCTACACTTTTAGTCGTACAAGACAAATGCGGATATTAAGTAAATCGACCGCTAAACCTGCATCAAGAAGTCAGGAGTTAAGGACACAACTTTACAACCAGCATAATTTGACGCCTTCTAGTACAGCTTACTGATGCATTAGGTAAAGGACCAAGTCATAATATGCCCAAGTCAATCCTTAAAGGCCCTAGATCTAACAGTCTTAGTTTTTATACGGTCCTGACCGCTCCTAGTCCTTAGACGCCTTGGTCCTAAGAGACCCAATCCTTATAGGCCCTAGTTCTAACAGCCCTTAGTCCTTATACGCCTAGTTTTAAAAGCCCCCTCTCCTAAAAGATTCTCAATCCTAATTGTTAGGTTAGATTAGGTTAGGTTAAGTTGGGACATATTTGTACTGGAACCAACCTAACCCTAATGTCCGTACCTCACGACATTTCTCACACCCAGATCGTGTTGGACGGGCCACACTGGTTCAAGAGCTACTTGTCACTATAGCGGATATTAAATTCCTGCTGTCACACAACACACAGCTTCTCGTTTACCATAAGGGTAAAATACGTGCACACAAAAGTGTTCGTAATCCCAGAGGAACAAATCCTGTGAGTCAAGCAATAAAACAAATATTGGATAAAACAAAAACAAAACGTACAAAGTTATAACAGTGTAAGACTGTGATAACAGTGTAAGGCCTTGATAACAGTGTAAGACCGTGATAACAGTGTAAGACCGTGATAACAGTGTAAGACTGTGATAACTGTGTAAGACTGTGATAACAGTGTAAGACTGTGATAACAGTGTAAGACTGTGATAACAGTGTAAGACAGGTGATAACAGTGTAAGACCGTGATAACAGTGTAAGACTGTGATAACCATGTAAGACCGTGATAACAGTGTAAGACTGTGATAACAGTGTAAGACTGTGATAACAGTGTAAGACTGTGATAACAGTGTAAGACAGGTGATCACAGTGTAAGACAGGTGATAACAGTGTAAGACTGTGATAACAGTGTAAGACTGTGATAACAGTGTAAGACAGGTGATAACAGTGTAAGACCGTGATAACAGTGTAAGACTGTGATAACAGTGTAAGACTGTGATAACAGTGTAAGACTGTGATAACAGTGTAAGACTGTGATAACAGTGTAAGACAGGTGATAACAGTGTAAGACAGGTGATAACAGTGTAAGACCGTGATAACAGTGTAAGACTGTGATAACAGTGTAAGACCATGATAACAGTGTAAGACCGTGATAACAGTGTAAGGCCGTGATAACAGTGTAAGACTGTGATAACTGTGTAAGACCGTGATAACAGTGTAAGACTGTGATAACAGTGTAAGACCGTGATAACAGTGTAAGACTGTGATAACAGTGTAAAACTGTGATAACAGTGTAAAGCCGTGATAACAGTGTAAGACCGTGATAACAGTGTAAGACCGTGATAACAGTGTAAAACTGTGATAACAGTGTAAGACAGGTGACAACAGTGTAAGACCGTGATAACAGTGTAAGACTGTGATAACAGTGTAAGACCGTGATAACAGTGTAAGACTGTGATAACAGTGTAAGACTGTGATAACAGTATAAGACTGTGATAACCGTATAAGACTGTGATAACCGTGTAAGACTGTGATAACAGTGTTAGACTGTGATAACAATGTGAGACTGTGATAACAGTGTAAGCCTGTGATAAGTGTAAGACTGTGATAACAGTGTAAGGCTGTAATAACAGTGTAAGACTGTGATAACAGTGTAAGACTGTGATAACAGTGTAAGACTGTGATAACAGTGTAAGGCCGTGATAACAGTGTAAGGCCGTGATAACAGTGTAAGACCGTGATAACAGTGTAAGACCGTGATAACAGTGTAAGACCGTGATAACAGTGTAAGACTGTGATAACAGTGTAAGACTGTGATAACAGTGTACGACAGGTGATAACAGTGTAAGACTGTGATAACAGTGTAAGACAGGTGATAACAGTGTAAGACAGGTGATAACAGTGTAAGACAGGTGATAACAGTGTAAGACCGTGATAACAGTGTAAGACCGTGATAACAGTGAACTCTTAAATCACCACTGGTCTCTCTGTGTTTGCGTGTGTAGGCATAATCCACACTGTCCCTAACGGGTTGTCAGGCTATGGAAGCCATCTTCACCTTTAAAATTGGCTTCGTCACTTTGAAATTTTACTCCGTTATTCAAGTAATGGTTTCGTTTATAATGAAACGCTCCCATATGTTACTCATGCAACGTTGACATGAAGATCGGAATGCTTACATCGCTGAGGAACTGTGAACACTGTTAGGTTGTTTTGATCACAACTCGCATTAAAGGTGTCCATCACCTTATATGCCGGGGTCCACTAGTACTGGCTACCATTGGGACTAGGTCCTATTGGGCCTGTGTTGTCTACCGGGAGGTCAAAGCTTCCCCATCTTTCATCATAATCTATCTTGTGCCTTGAATGCTTCTAAATTCCCTGGTATTATCTGCTTTTATGGTAGCTGGTCATTTTGGGGCACAATCTGCCCTAAACGAAGCGTCAGTATATGTTTCTAGTATATCATTACAGTATACAGCCTATGCAGTGATCCAGTCATCATACGTTGGTGTATGCTACTCTGGTTGGTGTGTAAACAGTGTAAGGCGGTCACGGTAGATCATGATGGGTCAAACCATTGACTGGTCAGTTGTGTAACTATTGACTATAACATCTCGCACTTTAGCTTGCTTACAATCTGTATAAACTTGGTACTGCACCTGTAGCTGACGAATGCGTCAATATTTACTGATGCAGGAAGTACCTCGACCTGCTCTTCTGTGTAACGAATGGCGTGACTTACAGGTGCAGGAAGTAGTTGTACTGACCTGTAGATGGGTGTGGTAAGTCCCTCCTTGAACCACAGTACGAGGTTGACAGTGTCACTGGCCACACAGGTCCAGGAAGTAGCTATACTCACCTGTAGATGGGTGTGGTGAGTCCCTCCTTGAACCACAGTACGAGGTAGACAGTGTCACCCGTCTGGACCGACATGTTGCACGGTAGACGCGCTGCCTCACCCGACACTCCCTCCACCTCCTCTACCACATCTGTTAAGGACAAAGATAAACAGTTATATGTGGCATAAACTGAGTTGTTTACACACACACACACACACACACACACACACACACACACACAGACAGTAAGGTAGGGTTTTTACACAACGTTGAATATTACGGTATTTTTTTAAATTAATTTAACTAAAGTCATGTACACTAATTTATGATTTAAGGGAATGGGTTTGAATTATGTCTGAAATAGGTAAATGCTTGGGTAAAACTGACCGTCGGGTTGTATAAATTCCTGATAAACAAGTTTCACATTATATTTATCAGTTGTGTATGGCAGAGAAGCCATACACTGTAATAAGGTGGGTCAAGAAGATGTGTGGGCTAGATGATGACCCCGACCTTCAGATGCCACCACTAGCCTGAGTCAAGAGCGTAACTATGGTGGACCAGTATATCACAGTTAATATAATATACCATTGAGGTTAACTTGTCATATAAAAGTGTTGTCACCGTCATCCACAAACATTCAGGAATGTCTTAAGGTTTCTGCAAGATGAGTTCCCTAAACCTTAGTGTTGAGGGTTGATACCAAAGAATGGTCTTGAGTTCCTTAACCTGGACGAAAAAGATACAGCCAACATTCTTTCATCTCCGGTGGCAGAAGATAAAATATGGGATTCCATACAAAGACTCGTGTCAAAGATGTAATTGAAGTATATGTATTTTCCGACACCCTACAAATAATTCACAAGTCGACCCTCTGCTGGCAAGATCATGGCTCACTCTATTTTCTGGGGTGCCACAAAGAATCTGCTGACTGACCTTCTTCCACATAAAACAACCATCACCGGTGACTATTATGCTGGCCTGATGTGAAAACTGCGCGACGCCATCCAGAAGAAACGTCGGGGGATGCTGACTAAAGGAGTGTGTTCTTGCCTACCACAATATAATGGCCCATAAAACCACGTGTCACACATATATCTATTTTCTTTTGTGGTTTTAAGCAACCCGACCACCTTCCCAAACGCCAAGATCTTCCTCCAAGCGACTATTACTGTACCTCTTTCGAAACCTGAAGACATTCCTCGGGATAATGAGCAGTTGGCAGGAAGAGTATTGAATGAATTGTGGTTTTATCAGTTTTATCATTATTCACAAAGCAGTTCGACCTTATTTATTGATTTAAGCCTCAGTATTATTTTTGTTTGACAATTAACTTTATATTTTATTCATTACGTTTCAGTTCAGGTCCCGTTAACCTCTTCCTGGTTACGAAAGTGACTTAAGTCGATGTACTGTACTGTAACATATCATTATTTTACAAGCAACGGCTGAGTGATAATGGACTACTATATTAATGGTCAAGGGTGAGCAGGTGTCTTATATTTATGGTCAAGGGTGAACAGGTGTCTTATATTTATGGTCAAGGGTGAACAGGTGTCTTATATTAATGGTCAAGGGTGAACAGGTGTCTTATATTAATGGTCAAGGGTGAGCAGGTGTCTTATATTAATGGTCAAGGGTGAACAGGTGTCTTATATTAATGGTCAAGGGTGAGCAGGTGTCTTATATTAATGGTCAAGGGTGAGCAGGTGTCTTATATTAACGGTCAAGGGTGAGCAGGTGTCTTATATTAACGGTCAAGGGTGAGCAGGTGTCTTATATTAACGGTCAAGGGTGAGCAGGTGTCTTATATTAACGGTCAAGGGTGAGCAGGTGTCTTATATTAACAGATATACAATATATAGATCCATCACTTATAACAGATTGTCCCCGAATGTTATGCCCGTGCTGTCAAAAGCCAAAACATTCAGTGAATATGATCTCGTTCCCGACAAAGTAAGCACGACCGTCGTGTTCTAATCATAGAAAATGGAACACCTGACTCATCCCTGAGTGTCCCATTTCTCGACAGATCTACACCACAGGTAAAGAGAGCCGACCCGTCTTCCCTCTTGTAATCATGAAATGAGTTTTCAGGATCAATACTCCATTTATGGTGGTGGCACTCTGTAGGTGGCTCAGGATTGCAGAAGCTAGATAAATCACGAGAGAGAGAGAGAGAGAGAGAGAGAGAGAGAGAGAGAGATAACCGAAGCAAGAAAACGAAGCTAGATGTCAGGGCTGACACGTTCTAGGACGACCACACCATCAGCTCTCTCTACCTCTCTAAACTGGTAATGAGAGATAATCGTTTGTAGATCAAGATCCAGTTTGTAAATCGAGGCAATTATCATGTCTTCCCTCTCAGATGTTCAGCGGCTGAGTGCGTACATTCCTCGCCTATTGTTCTGAAAGTTCGTTGGATCATGCTCGGGGTACCCCCAGTCCACCCAGCTGTGAATGGGTACCTAATTTTACAGTTTGCTGTCACCGCACTGCCCTTAACGGTTCATCGCGCATACAGGACCCACTTTCCTCACTAATTAAGGCGAATGAAGAAGACATAAAACTGAAGCCAAGTGCCCAAGGCGAGCAGCCTGGATAATTAATTTATTGACCCCGAGGTCATTTAGATATACTGTACAATGTCTATACGCCTTAGATGTTTCAGAAGGAGAACATTTTGACTCCGATGAATAAATACAAAATGGTGTCTATCTTGGTAGCTTCCACAGATAGGAAGTAAATACTGACGCCCGTGTTATTTAACATCTTCCCTTGAAGAGGGTCATCGTGTTCAACCCGAATTTTAAACTAAGTGAGTCCTGAGGGACACCGCAGTACAGTACTTAACGGGGTGGTGTGGCGGTAAAATTAATTAATTCCAATAAAATTAATTTACAATATTGGAATTAGTTAATTTTACCGACACCGTTAAGTACTGTACTGCGGTATCCCTCAGGATTCACTTAGTTTAAAATTCGGGTTGAAACACGACGACCCTCTTCAAGGGAAGATGTTAAATAACACGGGCGTTAGGCCTAAAGTTTGGTGCTTTATGTTTGCCAAGATTTTATACAAAGACTAACTGAGCATCAAGAAACTACCTGAGAATCTTTACTTAGAGCATAAAATTTTTATATACTTCTGCCTGAAGCCAAGGCCCATAGAAATATAAAACCCACTTCAACGTTGATGTTCTCCAAGAATTCCTAAGTGGAATAAAAGCAACTTAATACTGGTTCAAAAGACGTCATTAAGGATTCTAACGATCTTTTCAGAGGTGAATGATCAATAATCTTTCAATACACATTTACATGAAGACACACAACAAGGAGTTTAATCTACTTAACTCTTTGGCTGCGGGAGTTTCCCCTAAGCTGAATAAAATCGTCCAGCGGTAGTCAGTATAAAATGATAAGGGGGGGAATCTCGTATGATATTTACCTGAGAAATCCCATTTAAAATTAATGCTAACGCGAAAATAATAGAACAGAGGACTTAAACTATTTACTTCATCTTATGTAAAACGGAATAAATGAATCGGAATAAAATTTAGACAGTCGGAAGGCCACCATCCTGTGGTTCAGGGGCAGAAGATGGTAGACCAGGTAGAGGGTTGAGGACGGAATGATTAGGCAAGGCATACTTATCATAAGCAGTCAAGTATGATGCTATAAGAAATTCTTTAATCTAATCCATCAGTTTTTCATCTAACAAGTTAATAAAATAGTGATATGGGTAAGATCAATATATCTATAGATGTTTTGACAAGAAGGAACTCATGCTAAACAAAACAAAAATTTAATACAATTACATCCTGTAGTTGGATCAGCAAGTCATTAAGGATCGAATGACCTCCTGCACTTACCAAATTGGGGAAATTCTGACCCAAAATATCACTGAGTTGAAAGAAATAGGAACAGAGAGCCGTTAGGAACGTTTTCCTGGTTCCTACTTCCATTCTGGCGAGTCTTTTTGAAAGGCTTTCTACAACTAAACCAGAAAACACAAACATTCTCATTGAAAGCCTGTGCCTTGGGGCAACTTAAAATGTTCACAAAGGAATATTCCACCAAAGGTGCGACAAAAGATTAACTCTGCTCAAAGAACATATTCTTCAGAAAAAAAAAGATTCTGTGATACTATGTAATCATCGTGTTCAATAATTCAGCTTATTCGACGCAACTGGTCGAGAAATTAAAAACTCTAAGAACTTAATAAATTAACAGCCTTGAGTTGTGTTTCTTACGAGTTTTGTTACAAGGAGTTAACTTGTGTCCACTAGACGTATGTAACGATGACTATCCATAGGCCGCATATGATTAACTTTTTACATATTCGAAGGCAGGAATAGATGTTTTTATTTTACGGGGAATAGCCAACTCGGGCACAGGTCATCGACTCACGGCGTCGCCTAGGGGGCGAAAAAATAAGAGTAAAGAGAAATTAAGAATAGAAAAGAAAAAGATTATATTAATCTACACCTCGAAGAAGCCGGAAAATCTTAAATCTTGAACTCTCAGTTCCATGTAAATAATCCTTATAAAAATATATGTTTTATTTATCTGTAATCTTGTTATGTATCTGCTTAAAGTGGAACAAGTTCAGAGCAACCCTTAAAAAAATAATAGCGAGAAAATCAAGATGTCCGCAGACTGCCCAGGAAAAGTCTGTACTGACAACTGGGAAAAGGAAATTGGCTTTTATTCCGTATCTAACGTAGCCTAATATTATTCTCGCGTATATTTATAATCTCGGCTTGGTCAGCAGACTGGGAAGCAACGGCTTCACTGTCTTGACTCAACTGTAACTCGGGACACTAAGAGAGCGTATCCTAGACTAATGTGAAATGAATTTCATTAACTTATTATGTTGTGATGTAAAATATTTTTAGCTGAAATGTCTTTAATTGCATTGCTTCAGATTTTTTGTAATAGAAAATTCCCTCCAATCAACCTCCCGGTGTTGATAGAACTAAATGTCCTGTTCAGGAGAGTTCACTATATATATATATATATATATATATATATATATATATATATATATATATATATATATATATATATATATATATATATATATATATATATATATATATATATATATATATATATATATATATCGATAAAATCACACGGGAAAAGGGA